GTCATAAAATCGCGATCACCTTAAAACAGAAACCAATTAAAATCAGAAAAACTAAGCCATGAAATTATAAAATCATCATATCATAAAACAAATGAAAGATGAGTATAAACAAGGCTGGATTATAATATGGGCAAACTGGGCACACCCACAGCCACAAGGGGGCCCACGCGAGCAGCAGTCTTTTTTTTGTGCAGCAGTCTTAACGTTGGAGAAGAAAGTTAACAAGTAATTAAACTTGTGCCCGCATTTTCTAAGTTAACACACATTTCTGTTAACAACGGTGGTTTTTGCATCTTTTCTGCCTGCTTCAGCCCTCTCCCCCCTTCCCCTGCGCAGTGGCCGCAAACTCACTGATGCGCCTGCAGCCTCTCGGAGTTTCTGCTGATCTTAACATTGAAAGAATCATTTCATTTCTGTTCCTCACTTCTGATTACCTTCAGTGGTGTCTGTTTGTTGCTACCAGGTACAAAAATGAAAACAAATAAGCTTTAAATAAAAGGGTCTTCAGTTTTTTTAAAGGTGTCTAGACTGTCAATACTCCGTAAGGATAAAGGAAGTCCATTCCAAAGTCGACGAGCAACAGCCTGGAAGGAGCGATCACCTCGACTTTTCTATCTGGTCTTTGGAACATCTAGAAGGTTTTGGTGTGTGAACCTGAGGGCTCGGGTTGGAGCATAAGGCTTTAACAGTTCAGTAATATAGGAAGGAGCTTGACCATGTAGAGCATTGAAAGTTATAGTCAGGATTCTCAAATGAACTCTAAAGTTAACGGGTAACCAGTGCAGAGACATGAGAGCAGGAGTGATGTGAGCTCTTCTGTTTGCTCCAATTAGAAGCCTCGCTGCAGAGTTTGATTTGCTGTAAAGTCACTGACACAATAAGTCAGTGACTCGTTGCAATCTGCTGGGTTTTCTTACATAGGAATCTTTTAACTAACTGGCATTATTAACTGAAGTCAGTGCACTGATAAGTAGAATCAAATGACATGTATACTTTGTTGAGGGCCCTAGTACCCTATCCCCCTTTTTGTGAACCGGCGCTATATAAATAAACTGAATTGAATTGAATGTTAAAACTATTAAACAGCAACTCTGATTTCTCCTAATTTCTGTCCCCACAGCGCCCTCAGCTGGTCCTCATGTGAAAGTGCAAAACATAAACGGCTTCTCGGTGGAGCTTAGCTGGACTCCTCCACCTGTGGAATTTCTTCATGGGTTCATTTCTAATTACACCCTTTTCTACAGCAGCAGACACTACCCAGCAAAGAGTGAGTGAGGCATAAACACTGTAGCACACATTTAGGGAGCTTCCCTTGCTTCTAGATCTTGAAACCTGCATGCTTGCTTCTTAAAGGATTTACCTTCTCCTATTTAATTAGGCGTTGTAGTTCCTGGTCATGTTTGCCGCCACACTCTGAAGAACATGTCACCTGGTATCTACGACATCTTCATGAAGGCTAGTACTGTCGCTGGCACCAGTCCAGCTGGGAACCTGGCTAATGTGCTTATTGGTAATGATGGAACCCTGAAACACACACCCAGAATCATTAAATGATGGATATTTAACTTATATTTCTTTGTGTTAAGGTTCTGAGGAGATGTCTATAGTCACGTATGTCCTTGTTCCGATTGTTCTCATGGCAACGGTGCTGATGCTGGTGGCCTGTCTGGCACAGACACAGATGTGAGAGATGAGCCTTAAAACTCAAGCCTGCACAATGACTATCTGCTATTTTGAAACTGGGTTACATGTGATTTTTTTATTGTTTGTCTCTGTGATGTTAGGGTGAAACAAAAGTTGTCTCTAGGTATTCCTGATCCATCCAACAGCACCTTGTCTCATTGGAATCCTGACACCAGTTTGGATGTGAGACCAGTCTTTCTTTAATGATTTTTAACAGCAAAGTTTTGGTAAATCCTAAGAAAACACAATTTAAAATATTCAAATTTCTTTTTGAATGCAGTAATTTATCTGAAGTGTTTTTTCATAGAAAAACTGCAATCAGAAGGTTTCAGAATCTTTCTACTTAACCATTGGAAATATTTTGCCTTTTTGTGAATACACTTTATTCCTGCATGTAAAATGTTGTGTTTTCCCCTCAGACTAAGAGGCTGGTTGTGGTTCAGGCGAAGCCTGAAGACGATTACTCTGACATCATTCTGCTGGATAAGCTGCAGGACCTGGACAAGAACCGTAGCTGCCTGCTGCTCTCTCGTCCCCACAGTTACTTCCCCCTCCTCTCCTCTTCTCCCCCATTAAAAACATCTGATCAGTTGTTCACCAGGAACCGAACAGAAGAAGAGGGGATTTCCAGCAGCAATTTCTCTATGAACATCTACTCTAACATCAGCGACTGTCAGCCCCCACAGACAACCCTCCTCCCGCTCTATAAGCACCAGTTCTTTGGAAGTCCAACAACCATCTACAGCAATGACATCAAGTTCCCAGCAAATGAAGCCAGTGAGTCTCTTGTTTTCCAGCTGTCTCCATCTGAGCAGACCAGCGTTCCTTTGTTTCCAGAAGATCTTCAGAGTGGTGTGTCTTTACCAGACTTAAGTAGAGCTTCTCGTTCTTCTCAACCACCCAAACTCTGTACTGTTGCTAAAGAAAGATTCTGTCGTTGAAAGTTTTAGGATATAAGCTCCCCTTCTTTCTGTGGATTATTGTTATTTATTTTTATTTTTTTGTTGTTAGTGTTTTTGGATGCTTTTTAATTCCAACCAGACACGGAGTCAGAGATGAAAGAGAAAGGAAGAGATGTAAACCTGATGAGGAAATACAAAATCAACATTGTTTTACTGAGCAATCACATGATAATAAATCACAGTGCATTAAGTGCCAACCGCAGCCTTAAGACATGTGTTGAACATGCAAGTCCATACTTATGAGAGCACCATGTGAGCACATGTGTGCGTACATGCATGTAAATGTAAGGTTTCTCTATAGGAGTGTCCAATAGAGTGTGAGGGGCCACAGATCTGCCCCCAAAGATGCGTAGAAGACAGAGGGAGCTCCAAGCCCAAGAGATCCAGGAGCTGTCCCGGAGCGCAGGGACCCCAGGGAGACTGTAACCAGAAAAGCCCCAGTCCCCTCTGAAGAGGCGCAGAGGATTGCCCTGGGGGGGGTCACAACCAGCAGCCAGCAGAGTCCCGGGAGATAAGAGCAGCAAGCCCACAGGCCCGCCCGCAGCCTCCCACCTCCCACTCCTAGCCTCCAGCCCTCGGAAGCCAAGCGACAATGGAGTGCACCGTCACTCAGGGTGAGGCTGAAAGATCCCCCTGCCAAATGTCATTGAGTGTGCTCACTCCAAAGGCCCCAAGTGTGTTTTTGCGTGGAATGTCATTGGTGGAAGTGTTTAATGTGAAAATAAAATTGGGGGGCAGGTTGCCACAGGACTGCGAATATGGGATCCATACCCGCACCCCCTGACTTACCCACCCCCCAAGGTCCTTTGTGCATGTTTGTGTGATGATGTGAGGGAGCAGGAGGAGGAAAATGTCTGGGGACGGGGAGGAATGGCTGTCCCCTCCAGGGAGCTATCTGCCCCACTGACCCTGATAGGCACCTCCGTTCCCAAACTACTACCCAGGGCATGGAGACCCCAGCCCATCTGGCCAGGGCCCAAAGTAGCAGCACCGCAGAGCCCCATGGAGCCCGAGGGCAACAACCCAGCCCCACCCCAGCAGAATATCTACTCCCATCCCTGCATTTGCACAACTTCCAGAATATGTAAGATATGAGACATCCAGGCAAGGTTGGGTCCTCCTCCTCCTGGACATCCCCCTCCCCCATGATGGGACAGAAATGTTATTATTTCAGAGGAGCTAAGGTCCACCTGAGGCCCCTGAGTCTGGGCCAGGCACTGCCGCATGTCCCTGCCTTGTTCCCGGCAGCATACAAGTCAGGACCCAATCCCTAAGGCCCCACCCAGATCCCCGCACGGCCGGCCGCCCCCACAGCCCTAGATCGCCACCCAGACCCACCCAGGGGTGATGCAGCTGTGGATTTGTCCTACAGCTCTGAGCAGCGTGGTCCTCCAACCTCCTCTGATGTGTAATTTGTGTTTTTTTGTAGTTATTTTTAGAATTTGCATGTGGTTGTTTTAAAACTGGATTATTTATCTTACTTTAGATGTCGATTGTGATAAAAATTGCAAAAGAACTGTGACCTTTACGTGTGAAATATGTTTTATTTTTGTCCAAACAGGAGGAAAGATTCCTCTTTATTTCAAGGTTTTAAATGTGAAACCATAAATTATTGAAACGCTGTCAGAGACATGTGCATGCTGCTATTTTAACTTTGCAGAAATCTTGTGTCTGAATATAGAATTTTGGGTTTTTATTTTAAAACTGGAAACATGTTTTCATTTCTTCTTGTTTTGCTTACATGATGGTTGCACTGTATATTAAATGTTAAGCTATCAACCTCTTCAGTCCAGAGTCATGTCCATAAAAAGATCAAAAATCTGCATTCAGATGACATAAAATTAGACTGATAAGAAAAACATGGGAACAAACCCAAACAAAATAAAATGACCTAAAACGTTTTAAGAGGCGCTAAAAATCAAAATAAGATGAGTTTTAAAAACAAAGTGGAAATAATTCAACATTATGGGAAATGCAACAAGTAAAGCAAATTATGGTGGAAGAATTAAACTATATATTTGGACTTATTGTGATCTTGTTTCAATATGAGACACTTTAAGAGCTGGAAATGATCTAATAATGAACTCACTCAGGAATACAAAGTATGAACTAAGAAACAAAGCATAACATTTAGGCAAAAGGGGACTGTTCTCTGATGATGCAACTTGAAAAGCTGTAATTCCCAACAATTTAAAATAGGAGGAAGTTTATTTGTTTAAACTATTTTAATTTGTTTTAACAGACCATGTTTATCTTCCTGGAGGGCCTCTAGCTGCTCTCCTGCTCCAACACACCTCGTTCAATGACTGATTCACCTCTTCAGCCTTCAACCTACTGGTTGTGCAGCACCAGACTAAAGACCAAAGGTGACAGATCATTTGCTGCTGTGGCCCCCAGACTCTGGATCTCTCTCCCCCCGAGCCTGAGATCATTAGACTCAGTGGTCTCCTTTAAAAAGCAGCTGAAGACTCACCTGTTCAGGCTGGCTTTTGTATGACCTTCATCACAAACCCTCTCCTTATTCTGCTCTCCCCAACTAGTATGCCTTCCCCAGGATTCACTTTCACTCTTTCCTATCTCTCTCTCTCTCTCTCTCTCTCTCTCTCTCTCTCTCTCTCTCTCTCTCTCTGTCTCTCTCTCTCTCTCTCTCTCTCTCTCTCGCTCTCTCTCTCTCTCTCGCTCTTTCTTTGCATTTTTAATCACAATTTTCAATTCTAGCTTATTTTAAACATGTTTTTGATCATTTTTTGAAATGTTTTTTTATATTAAAATTGTTTTGTTTTTGTGAAGTGCCTCGTGACTTTTATCTTGAAATGCGTTATAGAAAAGATCGTTTTCTTTCATTCCTCTTTCTTTTTCAGCAGATCCTCCAATTCTTCAGAAGACAGTTGAATCAAACCAAATTTGTTGGAGAGATGAGACGGCCCTTACAGAGGGACAGAAAAACAGGCCACATGACTATAAAAATGTGTGTGTGGGGCAGGTTGCTTTTACACAGGAATTTCAGGGCATATATCAATGTTTACTTGTGTTTTGTTTAATTTAATCTTTACTCACCTTCTAGCTAAAGTGTATGTCATGAAAACATCCCATTATCAAGCTGTGGATCCAGTAGACAATATTTTAGAAAATCTTGTAAAAAACACATAAATAAACCTGGATGTAATTCACTTTCAGAGGATTATTCATCTGCATTCATTGTTTTCATCTAATTTTCAAAAATGTTCAAGATTTAACAAAAAGTTGTCAAAATAGTCTAAATCCATGAAATTTACTTCCATCCTTAAAAATTCTGCTCACTAGGATATTTACAAGAGTAAAATCAGACAGAATTACGAATTTTCTTGGGTAATAAAAAATTAAACACATTCAAAAAGCAAATGATGCATTTAAAGAGCTGTATTGGAGAAATTGATCATTTCCGTCTGAACTTGTGACCTAGAAAAGAGTAGGCTATTTACTCTGAGAGGGCTACAATACACCTTAATCAGTGATTGTGGGTTTTGCTTTTAAAAGCAGTGTAATTCACGCAGTTAATTAAAATGTAAGTATTCTTTACAAAACAAGTTGCGTCATGAGTTGAATGAGAAAAAACTTGTGGAAGAGCTTTGAAAACATGGAGAAAACAAATGGAGAAAAAAATGAGTGATTTTCCTTTTTTCCAAGCCCCAGTGGGAGTTTCGAGGAGATAAATCTTGGGCTCGCGCGCACAGCCGCGCCCCGCTCTGGATAAAGGGAGGCAGAACGCGGCGCGCGCTCACCTGTGACATAGGCGGAGTGGCAGGTACTAATCATACCGGAAGCACGTTGAAGTCGGAGCCACCTTTTTCCATTCTCAGACACTTTTCTGGTGTCCCTCAAGCTTCATGTCTGCCGGTTGTGTTTCTCAACAGCGAGGCAGCTTCGGAGGAAACATGCCAGTGCAAAGAAAGCGGATCCTTATTCTTGTGGATGTTCTGTGTGTCTTTGTGGGTAAGAGGCTGCTTCTCCCCTTCCTGCTGTAGCAACATGGCTGAAAACAATCATTTCCATGTTGTTGCCTTCATGGCTTTATTTACTAGGCAAATGTTTAGTGAAACTCTTAATGAATAACTATAAATTATTATCTTGTGACTCACGGGGTTACTCGCTTGCATAACTTCAATTTATTTTGTTTTAAGTTGCTTTGCAGATCTGAAATATAGTTACCAACTTCTAATATGACCTTTACTCGAGGTCTGAGAGACATTTTCCAAAGTAAGACTTGGAGATTGCTCTTGTTCAAACTGGTGAGTGTTTCCCAACACTGCAGATGTCTTCACAAAAGACTTTATCTCATCAGTGATTGTGTTTTTGTTAAGTGCATTGGACTGTGTGTGTGTGTGTGTGTGTGTGTGTGTGTGTGTGTGTGTGTGTGTGTGTGTGTGTGTGTGTGTGTGTGTGTGTGCACTTTGATTTTTCTATCATGCTTGTTTTCAGGATTTTCAAATTAAGGGTGAACGTCAACAAATGTTTGAGAATCCTGTTTCGTAAGTGTGTGTGTGTGTGTGTGTGTGTGTGTGTGTGTGTGTGTGTGTGTGTGTGTGTGTGTGTGTGTGTGTGTGCACTTTGATTTTTCTATCATGCTTGTTTTCAGGATTTTCAAATTAAGGGTGAACGTCAACAAATGTTTGAGAATCCTGTTTCGTAAGTGTGTGTGTGTGTGTGTGTGTGTGTGTGTGTGTGTGTGTGTGTGTGTGTGTGTGTGTGTGTGTGTGTGTGTGTGTGTGTGTGTGTGTGTGTGTGTGTGTGCGTGTGTGTGTGTGCACTTTGATTTTTCTATCATGCTTGTTTTCAGGATTTTCAAATTAAGGGTGAACGTCAACAAATGTTTGAGAATCCTGTTTCGTAAGTGTGTGTGTGTGTGTGTGTGGGCGCGCGCGCGTGTGTCTTACATGTTCAAAACAATTGTTGCGTAATTGTACATTTCTTTTTTAAATGGTTACAAATGCATGGGCTGCATATGAGTTGTGCACAGGGAAAAAAAGTAGCCTGTTGCAACTTGTTTTCCCTTCATCAGGTTTAACACAGGGACATCAATGGGTGTCTTCCGGCAGTTTGAGTCAGTTTTCACATTTTTAACAAATCTTCCGCTGGGAATGTGATAGAAATTAAGATTTATGCTTGCTTCACTTTATTTTTTGCAGCTGGTTAACTATATTTATGTGTAATTTTTAAATATTTAGCTCAGTCCATTGTTAATTATGCCAGTTTAATTTAATTTTATTTTTTTACTTAAGGCGATTCTTGTTGCAAAACAAATTTTCCTGGAATAAAAACCATCAGGGAGTTAAAACACTAATAAATTCTTATCATTCAGCTGTAGAAATTGCCGTTCCTTAGGAAAAATCTAAGTACGGTAAATCAGATGAGTCATTTTAAAGGATGACTCTTACATTTTTTTTCAGTGCAACAATTTAAAAAGTGAAAGCCTCTATCTGAACTTTGAAAGATGATGAATACATTTTAAAGACAACACTCTTCTTTATAAATCATTACATTTCCTTCTAGTTTCAGATTTCACTTTTGTGCTGTCATCTTTTTCAGGTTTTTTGAATCAGCTCCTGTTAGAAATTCCACCTAATTGAGTGATCTTCTCCCTTTTTTAATCTCTAAAGAAAGTTTTGTGGCCTAAACTTAGTAAAGCAAGTATTCTGTTTTGTTTCGCCGACTCAGACTTCAGACTATTTCCATTTATCTCAAAGACCTGAATTACAGATTACACATTTTATTAAATTATTTCTGATTCACTTGACTGCTCTCATTCTGCAAGTAGTAGAATACAGAATAGTGTTGGTGAGCTCATGGACTGGGAAAATAAAAGCTGATATTTTTAGTTCCAGATTTTCAGATAAGTTATTAAGCCCAGCTTTATTGCCGTATGCACAGTAAGGAAACATGTTTCCCTGAGTGGTGAGTGGTGCTAGTGGCAAATTCTGATCAGCTTCTTTTTGTTGCATCTTCAAAATGAGTGTTTAATGTTTAAATGATAAATGATAAATGACCCACACTTGTAGAGCCTCTCAGAGTAAGGACTCCAAAGCGCTTTACACTACAGTGTATCATTCATCCATTCACACACACATTCACACACTGATGGTGATGGTCCACAGCTGCCCTGGGGTGCACTGACAGAGGCGAGGCTGCCGAGTACAGGCACCACCGGTCCCTCTGACCACCACCAGCAGGCAAGGTGGGTTAAGTGTCTTGCCCAAGGACACAACAGCAGAATTCTCTGTCCGGAGCCGGGATCAAACCTGCAACCTTCCGATTACTGGACAACCCGCTCAACCTGTTGAGCTACTGCTGCCCCTGGCAAACAACATTAATCGCTCTCACACACCATTTGTGATATAATTTAACCTGAATTTGCAGTTAAAATTGTTAAATTGTTGCTTTTATGCTCTTTTTAAACAAAATCCCCAAATTTTTGACGAGTACAAAAAGTTTCAATTTTCCAGATGTTGAAACAGGTTTTTTTCCCCCCAAAATATGGTAAGTCCGATCCATCTGATTTAGATCATTTTACAGACATAATAACACTAGCTAAGTTTACATGCACAAATTTCCCCTATGTGATTCAAATCTTCGTTGATCAGAAATCCCAAATCTCTGTTTACATGGACACTAACTGAAATGATCCGATTGTACCGTGAGTATACACGCACCAAGCATTCAATCAGATTAACCCTCCCACCGTCTTCATGGGTGACCCCGCCAGGAAAGTTGACCACTGAGGAGGATTGATGGTTTATCCCTTGAGGTCCACGTGGCAGGGGTGAGGTGGTGCTCACTCCTCACCCCTGCCACGTGGACCTCAAGGGATAAATCATCAATCCTGCTTAATGGTCAACTCTCCTGGTGGGGTCACCCATGAAGACAGTGGGAGGGTTAAATAGGTAGAGCATGTTTAGAGTTGTTTTTCTCAGATTAAAAATAGTAAAAAAATAAATAAACCCACCATCTTGTCCACACGTATTTTCCCTCGCATTTTATTTTCATATTCTCTTGCTGTGTCCAATGACTTGTGTATTTCTCCCCCATTATGGACCTTCTTCGCTCTTTTACTTGTATGCATTTGGTTTAACTGATTTTATTTAATTAAATCTTATTTTATTTTTTTACGGGCTGGCTAGTAAGGATTGCAAAGTCAGCTGCAGTATCTATTAGGTATGTAAGAAAATATTAGTATGGCAGTATATTGTGATTTTTTTCCAGCAATATTACATTGACATTCAAAAGCTGTGTATTGAATTTTTGGAAGAATTAATTTGCAAACATTTGTATTTTCTTTTCTTTTTGTGCAATTCAAGCATCGACTAGTTGGCAGCATTGTGCAATGGTTTTTATTTCCACCATTGAAATGTAAACCCCTCTATATGGAGCCTAAGTCACACCCATCTACTTTCGGACCATGGGTCCCTGGAAGAACGAAAAAATGAATGCAAGTCAATGGGGCTAAAAAGGCAATTTTCTAATTCCGCTTGTTTTGTGCCATGGGTTTCACATATGATGTCTGTGAATTTTAAATACGCATTTTGATACCAAGAATGCGCTTATTTTCGAACGGGGGAAACATAATTTTGGGTTTTGTGTGAAATTACATCCAGGACTACAAATGTGCATCACAAAAGTGACGTCATCAAACCAGACACGGAGAACAACAGAGAGAAAATGGCTGTAAGGTCAGTGAACCTCAAATCCTTCCTTCGAGGGGAAAGAACCACCATAAATCTGGCCATGTGGTAAGTAGCAGCTATGCTAGAGGAGAAGAGATTCTGTGGTGACGTCATATTTACGACATGCCGATGTCTAATTTGTAGTCATGCTAATTACAAACTTTTGCAAGATGATAAATCTCAGAGTAGTCGAAACCCCATCATTAGTTTTGATTAAAACTGCAGTACAACATAAGTGAGATCCAGGGTCTGAGGCAAAGCGGATTAGTATATAGCTCTTTAACACTGTTGACTTGCATTCATTTTTTCGTTCTTCTGGGGACCCACGAGGCGACCGGAAAGGAAGGAGACTTAGGCTCCCTATCACGGTTCAGATACCTCGTGTTAAACACGTTTCATATCAGTTTAAACTGTTTATATACTGTTTTCCTACAATAAATTCAGTCTAAAAATGCTAACATTGTCTGACTGAATGTATCAATATATCGTGATATATCGTATCATCTTCCCTGTATCGTGATGCGTATCGTATTGCCATAATTTCACCAATACACATCCCTAGTATCTGTATATAACATGAAGAGGTTTGCTTAATGGTGATCCTGCCATCTTCTCCAAAAAACTCAAAGTTGGAGTCTTTGTCATTCTCCAGACCAACATTCATGCTGTTTATGGACAAGTTAGACAGCAATCTATTCCCCATCATCTCATCCATCTGCTCATAGAACTCAAAGCAGGGGGGGTCAGACTCACTTTAGCTGTTTTGAGTTTTTGCCTTGTAACACGTCGCTTTCAACCTTCTCCATCGGTTATTGATTTGGTCGATACTTCTGTGAATTTCCACTTCCTGCATCTTTAGATGCACTTGAGTGTATAACTTGGCATTTCTAGCCTTTGGGCTACTGAGATGTTCAGTAATATTGAGCTCCCTTAGTGTTTCCAGTAAAAAAAATTGTGTCTGCAACAGACCATGTCTGTTTACCTCCTGCCACGTTTTCAACCGCAAAGACAGACATCACGCTGAAGTTGCACACTTGCGCGTTGGGCATTGTTTCACTCCAATGATCCATACGGCTATGTACATGGGCGTCAATCAGATGGTGATCCGACAAAACCACCACCTCAATTGTTCATTCCGATCGGGCCAGATTAGATCAGAGTATTCCGATTGACATATTTACATGATGAGTTTTTGATCTGATAGGGCATTCGTTCCGATTACTTGTGCCCATGTAAACGTAGCTAGTGTATCAGCGCTGCTGACAGTTATTTATG